CCTCTCTTTCTTTCTTTTTTTTTTTTTTTTTGCCTGAGAGCTTAGCAACCTAATGACTTTCTTTTTAATGCATTATTATTACTGCTAGTGAAAAATTAAAATGATAATGAAGTGTGCATATTGGGTTGACAAGCCATGCTTACGTTGAGTTTAGGAATATATCATTATATAAAAGTGCAGTGTATATTTAGAAAAGTCCAGCAGTGGTAGCATTCAGACAATGCACAAATAATTTGGTACAAAAATACTTCATTGGGAGCAAAAGACCCACATTTAGAACTGTATTTATAAAGTATTCACTATGCAGAACGTATCTGAACTGTTATTACAATATTATTACTGATGCAAAAACATGTAAAAGAGTTTTAACATTGCTAAAGTGAAGCAAATTCTTTATATATTGTTGGGTAGTTCCACCTGCACAGACACAAAACGGTGCATCACATTTCATGAACAGCTCATATTTGTGAATGTAGAATCTGAAAATATCAATTATAGCTATTAAGTACATGTAATGGAGCAAAATGTACAATATTACGAGCAGAAAATGGAAATACTGAAGTATTGCACGTCAAAATTATAATCAAGAACAATACTTGAGTAACCGACTGAACTGTCAGAGTACAATGTTTTATGATGTGATAGAAAATCTCTCAGTTTCATAAAGGTGAGCGTGGTCATATAAACAAATAACACCACGTTTTTAAGGTTTCCATTTTTGCGGCTGCATTGGGACGAACATGACAACATCCGAGATGGCAACAAGACACCCAGTCATTACACACTAAACTTAGACACCTCATCAGCTCACCAGCTGGCAAACATTGCAAAGAAATAAAACCTTCATGTAGTGCCGAGTGCTCGGGAAACATTTTTATGAACTCAGTCCCCGGGAAGAAGGCCATGTCTTTACTTTGTTAATTCACTTTGTAGAGTTTGGAGCAGAGGCTTGGCGCATAGCTGGCAGTGAAATCTATATATATCATTCTCTGTAACAACATTTCATCATCTGTCGTTGCTCATTGATGTTGAATGCACACATCATCTATAGTTTGCTTTATTACCCGAGTCTACAGAAAGGCGCTCTGCAGAGGACACTCTGGGACAGTCTGGAAGAAAAGCTTACACGTTGCTGTTTCCATATGGCTCGCTTTAGTTGTGTGGGGGCCAGTGCAAGTCTTTGTGTTTAAGAGTGATGTTTATCAGGGGACAGATCCTGCTGGTATAATCATTACTAGGCTGAGTGAAATGTCTTGCAGAGCACGTACATAATGTCTAATGGGAAACGTCAAAGGTGCTCTGTCTTTTCTCACTGAGTTCCAGAGAGGACATTTCCATACTTATGGAACATGCCAAGGCAGTCCAAAACCAGAATGGGAAGACTGTCAGCAGAAAGATGAGAGTTTTCATTCTAAGTGACATCAAACAGAACTGAGGTATCACTCAAGATAAGAATGGAAAACAACCGAATGCAGAGAAAGCGAGGGAGTAAAGAAACAGATGTCTGAGGTAATGTATCAATTAATTTACCCAACAATTCTGGAACCGGCAGCACATGCAAAACAACAGAACTCCACGAAAAAGAAAAAAAAAAGAAACATTCACAACAGCATCTAATTCATGCAGTTATAAACAATACAATCAGCTCTGGTTATTATACAAGCAACAATAAACAGACATCGGGGGACTGTATATGTGTTTTGATGGAGCAACATCCTTCAAAGCCATCAAACTCACTTTTAGTTTTAGCAAGTGCGTTGTGCAAAGAACATTAAGTTATCAGTCAAACCAACAACCTTTTCCTTCATTACGAGAACAGCGAAGTTTCAACACTGGCAGTTTAGTCATCCATTAGTCATGTATCTCATCCAGATGTCTGGTGGAGGAGAGGAGGGGAGGAGGAGATAGCAGCAGGTGTAGATCTCTCTGAGCCCAGCTGAGCTCTAAAAGGCAGTGCTTAGCACCCACAGCTCCGTCATCTGGCCTCTCCCCTGTCTCCACCAGCCTCTCGACAGCCCATTCCTCATCATTTACCCCTTTTTGGCAAAGCCCAGAGCCCTTCTAATGGGCCGCTCTGAATGCTTCCAGATGTTTGTTTATTTGTTGTGCAGCAACTGTAAAACAGTTTACTCTTAGCTTGGATCTGTTCCCGTTGCTCCATTTTGAGGGGGCGGGCGGGGTGAGGTTGAGGGAGCTAGAGAGGCGGGGGTGAGTGTAGCAGGAGTTGCAGTGCGGATCACCCCCGACATGTAATGAAAGCAAACTTCCAAACAAATGTGAGGTGCCCCTTGGGTGTCATCAGGAAGGTTTTTTGCTTTTTTTTTGCTTTGAAGGCAGCTTTTCTCCTGGGATTTCAATAACAGTTGTGCACCATTTAAGATACATACATACAAAGTAGCTGGAAGCAGGCCCAGAACAACAAGAATAAAAGGGCCCAGGGCTCATACTGTAAGGCAGATTTCAGGCGTTTTTCCTTGTCTGTTTACTCCGCTTGTACAAAGATATCCCTTTCATTTACTACTGTCACTGCTGAGGGATGGCCTAATCAAGTTTAATCTGATACCTGCAAAAAACAGAAAAGAAAAGAAAAACCAGCTACTAGTGTCTGGCATATTTATTGAAATGTACAGAGGAAACAAGAGGCATTTCTTTAAAATCCTCCTCTCTGCACATGGATGTATCAATCAAGAGCGAGGCATCATTTTTACATACTTCTGAACTACAGTTATAATTAGATCTATGAAATAAACTTGTGAATCTCACTTCAAAATGTGTCATCCTGAGAAAATGACAAGGTGGTAATAAATAACTCGGCACATTGTTTTGCAGGGATGGCAAGGCAATGCAGTATGTCGCCGGCTGTGCTTTGCTAGTATGGTATGGACCAGTCTACAGGAAGACACGCTGTACTTAAGGCTGGGACTTCATTTTGGACTGTTAGATTTAGAGTTGAGTTGGCAGTTGGACCAGCAGTAAGAGTTAGAGCCAAGGTGACAGTAGTGGAGGATCCTCAGGCCCCTCTGCCAGACTATATACACCACTCGGCTCCGTGTCACGCCTTCACCAAGACACACCAGAGCCCCCACCCTCCTCTTCCTCCTCCTTCACTTTGTCTTTTGTCTCTCTCATTTTAAAGTCTTCTTTCACAGTTTAAGGCTAGTCCTCTTCCTGACTTTTCCTCTCTCCTTTCATCTTTCCCTCTAGTTTTGTCTATCTCTCTGCCGTCAGATGTGGTCTATGAAATTATGATTTAAATCCCTGTACCACAACGGCACATCTTTCCAGTGCTTTCCCCCCCCTAGCTCCACCTCCTCCTCCTTCTCCTCATTCTCTCTTGTGTTCTTCTTCCTGCTGCTGCCTTGTTTTACTCTGTCTCCTCCAGGTTGATTCCTCTACCAACCAAGACAGGGGCTTATCCTGGAGTTGTGTCCTTGGTTTCCACCCCTCTCTCCCTGGGCAGTGACCTGCCAGCGCTGCCCTCCTCTGGGAGCTCCTAGCTGCTGTAATTACCTCTGGCACCCGGGCTGTGGGGGCTTCCACACAGGTGACACGGCGGAGGGGTTGGGTGCAAAGGGTTGAAAGGAGGAAAGGGAGGTTCTTTCTGTGCAGCCGACAGGGCGATGTCAGAATAGCTGCTGATCCGCCTGCTGCTGCAGGAGTCGGGATAAAACTACACATTCTCCCTTGTCCCTCTATTAAAAACAGCACTTCATTAACCCCTACGCAGCTACTGTCACATTCTGTATAATGTCTGCTCTAAAAGCTGTCTATTACAGGTCTAACTGTCGCCTAAATTCATAGTCCAACACATTTATTTTTCTCATGTATTGGTTTCTCAATATTATGGCACAAAACAATGGAGTACTTTGGAGAGCAGGAAAAAGCAAGCAGTTGTGATGACAAAAAAATGGGATATACAGTATGACCGGAGTGGTTCACTTTTTCAACAGATTTCAAACAAACCCGTAGTGAATTGTTTAATTTACCATGTGTATTGAAACAAGCCTGTTGCAGTGAACTACACAAAATTATGCAGCATATTGTTTCACCCCTCTTGTTTATACCCTGAATTTAACTCAGTAAACACTCAGTTGTTTGGAATTACTGTCGGAATAATTTTGTTTGTTGTAGCGCTGCTTTGCCGCCGCTTTGTTCTCTTTGAATGAGGAGTTACTGTGACCATCTCCCACACATAAAGAAAACTCGAGTATATTTAAGAAGTGTAAATAAATGGGGGAGAAAAAATAAAAGAGCTGGGGTAAGGGGGGGCTCGAGGCAGGGACATGAAGAGGAGGTGAAGGGCGAAGATGAGGGCTGTGTTATCTAAGACTGCAGCGCTGCATCATAAAAATAACAAATGGAGACTGTCACTGTTGCTCAGATCTCAGACAGAGGGGAAAAATATTTCATGTGTCAGGTCCCCTCACCTTTAAATGGGCTGTTCTTAGCCAGGTCTGATTTTGACAAAGCACAAGGCTCTTTCTGTCCTTACATCCGATGAGAGCTGCCACCATCCTGGCTTTCATGACATAGATCTGTCCTTGGCACCGTAAATGGGGGTTGTGGGCTTGAGGTCTGCTCTTCTGTGTAAAAGGTAGGGACACTCACTGCTGATAAGTCGTGCTACCGCAGTTGTGGTCAGCTCATCACAAGTGTTTTGCACTGTGAAGTCGGCGATGCATCTCTCTGGCATAAGAAAACTATCCAGAGAAGTCGGGCTTATTGTGAAAGCCTGACTACAAATTAATTGGTAATTCAGGTTTAAGGCACTCCTTTGAGGCTTGATTATACTATAGGCTGCATTTTGTGGACATTAAAATAGATTCTAGGCCCTCTGTTTTGCAAGATATGTTAAAAAATCCTATCTCTTAGTAATATGGGAAGTTTGTTGTGGTAAATTATGTTTAGTAACCTAATTTCATGGCAATTGTCATTCTTTAGAGGGTAAGTAAATGTGTCCTTTGGAAATCCAAGGTCACAAACCATCTAAAGTGCATGTTGATTCAAATCTAAATATCCACGTTTAGCATGAAGCAAATCATCTTAAATGAAGACAAATTCATTTTATTTTATTGTTAATTTTGACATGTGGGAACAGTTTTCTGATAGAATTCAGCTTCACGACTTTTTTTTAACTAAAATCTGAGCTGAGAATCTGCTACAAATGCAGTAAGTGACCTTCACTGTTAATTTATAACATTTAATTTCCTTTAATGAATGTGATGCATTGTTCTGAGAGTGCAGCATTTGATGTTAAGAAGTTGCTCCATAATTACACCAACTGACTACACTGGGTCAATGTGAGGCCCAATCAATGTCTTGTAACAACACATCAAGGATGCTTCATCTTGTATATGTACTGTGTGCTCCCACGCATACGTTCAGATCAGAGTTAACCTAGATTACTCAGATTTATTCCCACTATCAACACATCACACAGATGAGATGGGATCAATAAGAAGGATAACATAACTTCGACTCAAGTTCAATAGATTCCCACTCTCTGCAGTCGGTAGGGTTACGACTCATATTTACATAATCCATGGGCCTAGGTTCTGAATGCATTCTAATATTTAATGCTGCTTCTTGTTTATTTGAAGAATATCTGTACAGATGTACACAGAATTCACCTGACTGAAAAGGTTATACAGACCAAAGGTCTTTCCATTTTTTCTTACCTTTATGGGTCCTGGCATCTGTGGGTCCTCGGGGTAGAGGGGTATAGGGCAGTGGGTGACTTTCAGATCCAGCCTCATTAAGTGGCTAGGAGAAAGGAGACATACAAAAGGAGAGCATATTTAGAAGACAAAAGGTCTGACAAGTTTAAATACTATCACTGTAGCTGACTGCGAGTGTCATAAATCCTTTAGAATTGGTACAGTAACTGTTGGAACCGCTGCTCCTGTTTAAATACTTAATATATGAGGTCATGCTTTATTACTTCTCACGCATTGTGTGGTTACATCCTCCAGCTACTGTGATGAACTGGCGATGACTGATCTACAACCTGGTTAGGGGGGAGAGTTCTTAACCTTCACTCAGCCATGACCTCCTACAGTGGTCAACTAAAGAGAACACAATGCTCACTCTAATGCAGTCCAGTCAGGTGAGGGCGGCGGCACAATAGGATCTCTCTGCGCTGGTTTTAAGAGACGGAATGCAAAATGCATTGTAAATACTCATCTCCGTTTAGCACACTGTCTTATTTAATGTCCCATAATTGAAGCGAGAGGTAAATATGTGCATAGATTCCTGGCTGAGCAACTGGAATGAGCTATTGATTGTAAGCAAAGTCAGAGGTTCAGGCTACACAAGTGTGACGAATGCCGCTTTAGAACAAAGAGAAAACAGAGGCCTCAATCTCAGAGCATATTCCCAAACAAGAGTTTTCGTGTTGTTATTCTTTGGTGCACTTTCAAGGTCCAAAACATCCTCTTCCTTCCCTTAGCCTTTTAGCTAGTGAAGCAGGCAGTTTATCATGACACAGCGATATCTGATGCCTTTGCAGAAATACTTTCCTTTCCTGCAGGAAGGAATTCACTGGGCCTTTAATCATAGCAAGAGACTCAACTGACAAATACATATTAGAGATGGTTTGGAGCTGCATTTTTCCCACTTTTATTGTTGTTCCTCTACATGCCCATGCATAACCTTGAGAAATGGAAGGGTCTGCACTGTTAAATGGAACCATATTCTTCATGGGCAAAGAGAGCACTGTGAATTGAAAACGATCACATAATGTGCTTTCAGATAGCATCTCTGAAAGGCATTAAGGTCTGGCCAGCATGTGTCTCATATTACACCAAGGAGAAAAATGGCAAAATAACCCTATTTTGAGGCCTTACTACATATATGCTGGAGGACCGTGCCTTTGAAAGAAACAGCTTAGAATAGGAATATTGTTTTGACAGCAGACCTGCTGCTCTCAGCCTCTGAAGAGGCTAAAACCTGCTCAGAAATATCCAAGATCACTCCCCGCTTGTGAGATGTACTTGTATGGAATGGGTAATACAAGAAGTAAAACAACCCAAAATAAGAACATACTGTACTCGGTAAGAACTGCCACCTCCCATTTAAGGAAAAACAATCAGGTATTCATGTTCAGTTCAACGGCACGATCTGCAAAACAGATACTGCAGTGAGCCAATGAAAGATCCTGAAGCAAAATAGGATGATGATCCACCCGTCCTATTTTCAAAAGAGTCTCTTCATTCTTCCAATTTGCATTTTGCCATTGAGCTTTGAGGATATAATTGATACTGGCTTTCATAGCGAACACACAAAGATTCTGTCTATGACAATTACTACGAGCTGAAGTGAGCAACTCAGGCATTAAGGAGGGGGATTGTGAGCCGTCTCCGGCTGATCTACCTTCATGCTCTTAAGAGCCACCGCAGAGTTGCGCCCCTGCTTGCCTCATTTCCTGGCTTGCTTGAAAGATCACAAGCCTGGGCCTCTTCAGGCCTGCTTGGACCACAAAAGCCCCTCCTAATCCTGCTGCTTGCCCACAATTAATCTTCCTAGTTGCCACATTATTAACAGCACCACCCACAGACTGTGTTCGGGGGGTGCTGGAAGAGAACAAGGAAAGGGAGGACTGCTGGGGTTAGTTGAATACTAGATAGAGCCTTGGACTGCCTTCACATGTTGGCTTTGGTCCTATGGAACATCAGTCACCTTGCTTTAAGTATCACCACCCACCCGGTCCCGGCGCTATGCATGACACCACTACTTCACCTCCTCACTATCATGCCTGCTGATCAAACACCCGGCCCATTCAACATCTGTGGCTGTTGTCACTTCCTGTCCCATCCAGCCCCTCCCACACAACATCAATCAGCTTCCACTTATCCTGAGCCCTCCGTTTTCTACTCTCCAACCTTCCTCATTACCCCTCGACATTTGCACTCTTTCGCTTTAGTCAATGGCCTGTCTTGAGGATGAGAAAGCAGCCATGCTTACGATGACATGTGGAACAAATGAAGAGAGAATTTCTCTGTTCGTGCTTAAGGATTGCTGATGGACTGCAACTATACGGCGCCTTTATACATTAAGTTTTGGCTCTCATTCCAGATGAATGTTTAATCTGATCGCCACATTCCCTGAATTACTCAAACGCCAAATAACCATAGCAGAGTCGGTCATCTTCTTAAACAAGATTCTTTACCCGACCCAACGTGCATCATAGATCTCCTCGAAGTATAATCATCCTGATCGGCACATCGCGTGCAATCATCTTCACGGGCTTTTATTTACATTATGACTCGTACAATCATCCATCCATCCATTTTCTATACGCCGTTTGATCCTCTGTAGATTCGTGGAGGGGGGCTGGAGCCTTTACCAGCCAGTTTAAATACTACAGGTCCAGATAATGCACTGCTGAACGGGAAAGTCAGAATATGCCATTGTATGATTAATCAGTGGACCTCCAAGAACAAAGTGACACAATTTCTTCCTTTCCTGCATTTATTGTAGAATATAGAAAGCTAACCACCACGCTTGTTCATGTAAGCTCTCAAAGGTCTGGAACAAAGTAAATATAAGCAAGTGAATGTAGGATTATGTCCTCACACATTGTATCCCCTTCTTCAGCTTTGCTTCCACACTCCGTATTCCTCCTTTTCTGTATCATTTTTTTCTCTCTCTCTGTCTTGATTTCTCCAGTTGTACCTACACTGAACAGAGGGAGGTGCTGCTGTGTTGTCTATTTAAGATGCTCCTGGACCTCCTTTTTCCTCTCCTTCTCTCTCAGTCTCTCTGCTGTCCAGATTAGTCTGCTCATCAAGCTGAGCATTGTTTTAATTTGCTGGGCCCGGGGCATATGCTGAGTGTTCACATCATTATTGTCTCTGTGCAATGTGAGTTATCACCACAGCTTATGATAATGTGGCACAAATTTACAGGCTGGGGAGCGCCGTGGATTCTGTGATAATAAAGGGTGGACAGAGGCGAGTGGAAACAGGGAGGGAGAGAGAGAAATGAAGAAAATGTGTGTGTGTGAGTGAGAGAGAGAGGAAGGTGGAGAGAGGAGAGGAAGCTCTGTTGGATGTCATTATGAAAGATGATTCCCATACTAGATAATACATCACACCAGGGCTGTCTGTCTTCTCCTTTTCAGTGTTGTTATGCGAATAAATGCTGATAAACCCAGAGGCAATAGTGATTATTACTTCCAACATATCACCATGAGAGAGGGGAGCAGGACGAGAGAGACAGGGGAGGGATGGAAGGAGAAGAAAAGCGAATCACAAAAGAGAGCCACATGGAGCACATAACCACCTCCACGGTGGGAATCTCGAAAATATGAGACACCGAAAAAAAAAAAAGTGAGTCAGGGAAGGTTGACGCACATCGAGATGTTTTTCAGATGCAACCGCCGCAAAAGTTTACAAAGTTTTGCAAGCTCGGCTGTCGATTACAAATCTTGATGGGTGTTATATTACAGTACATTATGCTGACATCGGTTGATCTGGAAAGATTTCTCTAAAATGCGATAATGATGTCGGCTGTCGCGGCAGAAGTACATAAAGTAACTACTTTGCGTCGTGTTCTACACGCTGCTTTCCTCTTTGGCTGCCTGGCTCTGGAGTTTTCACCCCGACCAGCTCATCCTGACACAGCTGGTTCCTGCCTTGCCTCACCTCACCTCCCTCCTTAAGACTGACCAGCAATACAATCTAATTACAGCCGCGCTACAGAGGGAGACCAGTGTAAACACCAGCCCTTTTTATCTCCTTATACATCTGGACAAGTAGACAAAGTGCTAAAAGGAAATAAATGTGGCCTGACAGCCACATCAAAGAGTTCAGCCAGAGGCTTACTGCTACTTAGGGCACAGGAATGTTGTTGCTAAGCATCAGCCCGCAACCTATCAGGGTGCAAAGAGGGCCCTGTCCTGCCTTTAGAGAGGGAAAAGGGGAAAAGAGAGAAATGAAGAGGAGAGAGGGGGAGGAAGGGAGGGCGGGGGGAGGGAGGGCTGACATTGAGGGGAGGCTAGGGACTCAAGGAGATTTTTGTAGCTTAAAGCAATTGTTGGAAGAAACAAGTCTTCTGTTTTGTTTTCTCTTGACACCATTTCTGCTTTTTGTGCTTGCAAAAGACATGTATAAAAATGTCTTTTGATATGTTTTCTCTTTGGGTCTATATCAAAATATTTCTTTTGTGTCTGTGCATGGAACTTTTTTCACATCTTGTCTCTATAAACTGGTGCTGCTTTCTGATCATGTTAGAGATCAGAGGAGACACAACTTGTGAACTTATTTGAGTCAACATTTAATGCTGGCATGACACGTTTATTTCTTCGCTAGATGGAATTTTTTATGATTCATGTTTCATGCTTCTGAAGTTAGGGGTTACAAACAATACAACACTTTTAGAAATAAACAAGGAACAATGAATAAGTAGCGCTGGCTGGGAGCATGTAATGGCAGCGATGAAATGAAAAAAAAGGCTCTAATTCACTACCAGAGATCAAATCTGCCTCTCATATTACAGACTTTTGAATGCTTTCAAACAGAAGTCTAACATAATATACTATGCGTGTACTAATACACCCAGTATTATATAGGGATGTTATTCTATAGTCGAGAAAAATGCTTTTTTGCAACAACCAGAACTGCTATCTTAATTCAAACAATTTAATTTTGTGTGTGATCTTAATGATTGCGGCTCAAGGGAGCAAAGAAAATATTGTAATGTGTTTTAAATTGCTGTTGTGTGCATGCAAACTATTAATTCCGTTTTCTTAGGTAATCGCCAGG